TTATTCGAATATGAATTGTAACTAAAACTTCAGGTAGTCACTGGAGTAGTAGTAAAGGCTGCATAAAATGACCCAATTGAAACTTTAGAGCCTGTAGGCATGGATCAAGTGAGTGGCAAACAAGATGTCTAATGAACGAAATGTGATGAAATAGTTTAAGAACTAATAATTATCAAATCATGCTTTAAGTGGAATAGTAGACCTGGGATTTTATGTTGCTATAAGCGTCAGAGGTCAAATTAAAAAAAAATTATATTCAAAGAGAGTAAGTTTTCAACACTGCCAATAAATCTTAAAGAAGAGCTGTAGTCACCACAGGTCGCATAGAGTGATAAACGACTGATAATTGAATTTTCCCACAATGATATGTATAGGCTTCATAATGTAATCTAATTTCTAGTATAGAAGCAAATGTGAGTGAAATTCAATGGCATCGTGAGGCCTACACATATCATTGTATAAAAAATTCAACCATCAATCGTTCATCACCTTGTGAGACTTAAGTCTTATTAAAAAATTATCACTTGACTAGTCAGAAAATAGAAGCTTTGAGACGATAATTTGACTTGAGAAAGTGCCCTACAGGTGAAGGAAAGACTCATAGGTGAGTTTCCTATACTAAAATGAGTAGTTCTTACGATGTCATTAAGGTTCATTAATAGAATATTAACGTAAGACATTCTCATCCGAGATGAACACAATTTCAATTTTGCCTGAATTTTAAAGGCAGTAAAGAAAGCAGTGTACGCCAAGTGGCAACAGGCTGTCATTGCCTCAAAGCCACATTTGCCAATAGATGGCAGGTCAGATTAGACTTCTAAGACGAACCAGATCTCCTTAATTTCGTATTTCTTGTGAAGTTGATACCGATAAGGCAAGTGTGTATTGATCATTTGAGTCAACGGTATTACTATAAGGTGAAGAAACTATGGAGGGATCTATTTATAAGGACTCAGAACCCCAACTTCCTTATGGAGACCCATGTGCGGCCAAAACTGCAGCCCAGCCCGAATAAGAAAGTTTCATGGGATGTACATATAAAATAAATTCAATCATATCATAAGGCCCAGTATACATTTAATTATGGGAAACTCTTCAGGTCTTCGGTAACCTTAAAAAGCCTAATGTGTTTCAAGTTTTTATAAAGAGAAATATCTCAGGTGTATAACTTACAAATGTGAAAGCATGGGGATAGAGATAGAATTTCGAAAATATTTCCAAATGAGTCCTAAGCTTAGTTATGTCTAACTAGCAATGTGTCGGGAAGACAATATCTGTAGTCACAGTGAGTCACATTGCAGATGTGACTTCGCGACAAGCCAGACAACTCAAATATCATAATTAAAATGGGATATTCGACAAGGCAAACTTGTATTTTGCCGTTACAATAGACTAGATTACCTATAATCATGATTAGTAGGTTTCGCTACTATCAGTACAACTTAAATAAGAGCTACTATTAATCAGTTAAACAATGCAGTCAATTATAGTTGCAAACTATAAGTTTATTTAATCGAAAATCTCACTAAAAATAGGATTGGTCTAGCATGAAACTCATGCCTGCCTTGTTACCCACTGGCCCCCTAGCAGCATGTGGTTTTGATAATACACAGAAGCGATCGAAATTTAAACCAACTCTTTGGGAAGCAAAACTATGCGAAATTCAAAATTATCGTTGTATCGTTATGGCAAAGTTAAACTATACTCCATTCATCAACTTATGCGATCTGGGGTGAATACAATTCTTATTCTTGATCTATTAATAGGCTCCAAGATCCACTAATTCTAAATGTGTCTGAAAGATATTCAAGTAGAAAATCCGAGCCTAAAACCATTCGCAAGGGGCGGGAAATATCGACAAAAACGATGTACATACATGCATGCATACATATACATATGCTATATTATACTGATATACTGACTGTAGACTGACCTTCCAATCAGCTTCTCCAACGCCTGTGAGCGAAGCCGAAAGTTCAGTGGCCGTAGCTCCGGGGGCATGGCCATGAAGACTGGAGCCGATGCCCGAGGATGATGGGGGCCGCGGCGTGCCGGGGCCAGGTACACAGCCTGATTGTCCAGTTTGGGCTGGTGAGGCGTGCGCAGAAGAACTGCGAGTCTGACAGCGTATGGGTAGGAGAATGAAAGGTGTCAAAATATAGCCGGTTATTTGGGAGTAATACTGTCTCCTGTGCATGCATAAGTGGCCGATAAAGAAGCCCAATATATAGCAGGGTTGAAGGTTGTGGCTGTAACTAGACACATATAATGTTATCTTCATTATGGAAAATTATGTTATTGAAGCAAAATATCTTAATTTAAACAGGCGGCTCTGATTTGCCAGTTATTTGAAATGTGGGACATTATCATTTAGTAAAGTTTCACACGAATCGTAGGAAAATATGCTGCTGAATTTATATTAACTGAACGAAATAAACAAGTATTTCCATATTGATATATATATATATTAAGTCCATTATCAAGTAAAGTTGTGCTTAAGCAAATTAATATGGTTCAAAATATATATCAGTGCTACTATGGCTATGCCAAACGGATGCAATCAAAAATGAAAATCATATACTTATAAAAAGTATTAAAGATAAAAAATAAAATTGCCAAGGAACAAGGACCTAAGTGGTTATGCAACTTTTTGATTCCAATAGTTCATGACCTCAAATAAAATAAAGGTCGAAATTTTATAGAGAACAAGTGATGGAGATCATTTTCCACAAGAATGAGATACTTAGAAATTCCATCTGATATGTTTATGCACCTAGACAATCGCATAACTCGCAAAGGATCAAAGTTATGCAGATGGTAAGAGGAAAGGCTTGCCTATTCTAGTAATCATTTGACCATGTTTTCGCAACTTTATCATATTGGCAGGAAGACCTAAAGGAACGCACCTTGACCGGAGTTCATAGCATGCATGATAATCTCCAGAATCGAACCGCAGACTTGGTACAATCGCAGACGTTTCGCCGGCCTCGTCAGTCTTATCAACCAAGCAAAAACTCGTCAAAGAGATAAGTTAAGTCAATTCTTTGACCAACTTTCTGTCGAACCGGTTATGCTATCACTCCTGTTTCCTCTATCCATTCCCTACTCTCTAGTCTCGCCCTCGTCCTGTCACAACTTCTGACATGTTTATAT